TTCAGCTTCCCTGTGCCTAGTTTCTATGCCATCTTGGCTATATTTCCAGATTGCCTCACCCCAGGTACCAAAAGATCCAACTTGTTTCCCATCTGGGCTATTTCTCTGATCTTCCATAGTTCTGAAACACAATGCAGGGCTTCTTCTCACTCAACTCTTTCCGGGTTTGTTCTGCAGCTGTGGAGTTTGAATGCTAGTGTTTAAACAAGCTGGTATTACACAGGAAATGGCCACCTCCACAGGCCCCTGCAGGCTTGTAACATGGGGTCATTGTAAGTGATATTAATCACCAGTCAGCCTGTTCCCCCAGTAAAAATATGAAGGCGTATGTGAGTACTTAGTCCATCTTAGTCTTTTCAGAAGGAGAAACTGAGCCCTAGTGAGTTTGTTCCAAACTGTCATCCTCCCTCAGACCTGCCCTAATTGGAGCTTTCAGAACAGCCCTACCTGATCCCTTCCCTAGAAAGCTGGCAGATCTACCTTTTGTTCTGAGTTCCAGGAAAGGAGGTAGATTGTTGTGGTGTTATGCACCTTATAACTGTTATGCACCTTATAACCATCTCACACCTTAATCTTTCAAGGCATGTTTACAGTGGTAGCATCTTCTATGAGAGAATGCTAGAATTTAGTTATCTTTGGGGGAATGAGGGGGCAGTACTTGGGTTTTAATTCACAGCCTTGTGCTTGCTAAGCAGGTGCTCTACCACTTGAGCCATGCCCTAGCCTAAGAACACTAGAATTTTAGAAACACAGAAACCCACTGGTCCACCTGAGAGCAGGGCTCCTCAGTTTCCTGGACTGAAGTGCTTTTCTAATGCTATTTGCAGAACTAACCCCAGTCTGAAGGGTTAATCTGATTTCCCAAGTCAATATCCCCCAAACAACCAGCCAGGAGTGTGTGTTGGTTCATTTCTGTGAAATGTGTTTCCCTAGTCACCTGGGCTGGCCTGGGCTGCATTGTATCGGCCAGCAGCTGCACTGCACTCAAACTGACAGCTACATTAAACTTTGGAATTCTGAGGCAATAAAAAGTAAATTAACTCTTATTTTTTTCCTTTCCTGGTGGAGTAAGTAAATGCATATCTGTATGGAAATAAGTGAGCCTTGGTTCTGAGTGCATACCTTTAACTAGTCAGTGCAAGTCTGTCCCAGGCTAGGATCTGGTGTTCAAACTCCCGTGAGGGGTCTGCTTTCCTGGTGTGTGGTGTATTCTGTGGGGTTGGGCCAGTGGGTCACCCTGCAACTGCTGATCTTGTGCACTAATCACAGCCCCAATGCTGAGAGACTTCTTTGCCACCATCCTGGGAGCTATAAATTGGTTATCAAACACAGTTTCATATTCTCAGGCTGCTTTGTGTCTGCTTTGTGAAGGGTGCACCCTAACTTTAGTGGGATTTTGTGAGCTCTGGGAGCTTCCCCAAGGTATAAGTTAAACCAGAACAAGCCAGAAGGACTTGAGTCCATAGTACTGTAGAGTATCCATTTAGAATCAAAAGTGATTTGAGATTTTTCAAGAAAAAAGTTCTGGGACATCATTTCCAGAAGATTGGGAGCTGTTTAAAGCTCCTCAAATTCTCAAACGAGAATTTGATTTTGGGCTCCTTGGTTAACCTTGAGGATACAAGGGCTTTGAGATGAAGGTTAGGGAGGCACTTCTGGTTGGGATAAGGAACTAAAGCAGGAAAAAGCTAAGCTTTTCCCCTTCTACTTAGACAGGAAACTGTTCAAACACAGAACTGACCTCCCAGCCCAGAGGCCTAATTGGAGTAAGCTAAGGTAGTGTTGCCAAGGTTCTAGGAGTTACCTCATCCTCTTGCACATAACGCCTTTTGAGTTCAGGCATCTCACCTAGATTTTCAGAGCACCTCTTCCTTTTAGTGTTAGTTTCCTGATATTACCCACTCCCACACCACCTATAGAGAGCCACTGGATGACCCATGAGTACATACATATTCGTGTTCCTGTCTGTGGTGTTCACCAAGAGAAGATAACTAATGATGTGAAACATTAATAGGCTATTTTTGTGTTTGTGTGGGACTAGGATTTGAACTCAGGACTTCATGTGTGCAAAGAGGTGCTCTACTACTTGAGCCACTCCTCTAACCAATGCTGTGAAACATGGACTAAACTTGGACAATTCCACTGTGATACCCACAACAATACAGAAAAAAAAAGCAGCTACTCAGAATCAGAGTTCAAATACAACATCAGGATGAATTGAGCAGGGCAAAAGTGACTTTTCACTGAAGCATTTTGTGTATTCCCTTGGTTCTGATCAGTCTAGCTTGACCCATGGACCACTTTTATTTACATTTCTGAGTTGGGAATCAGGGTACTTCCTATGTCTTTTTGCATTAGCTTCTGTCTTACAAAATCAACATTAGGGTATGAACTCGCATCCACCTTATTTTTTCAGTGAGTCTTAAGGTTTTGGCGCAAGGTGGGTGGTAATGGGCAAAAGGCAGATGTGGGCAGGGGTCCCTAGTGGTGGCCAGCAGTCTCTGGTAGGAGTCAGTTTTGGTTATCTGAGCCTTAGGGGACAGGAGAGCATGGTAATGAGAACCACATGGTACCACATATTTCTTCCTCTTGGATCTAAGATGGTGGGGTGGGAGGATGAGAGAGGGATGTAGGACTTCACTGTGGCAGCCATGGATGATTTTCTGCTACCTCTCTCTGGCTGAGGATGCTGCTGCCCACACACATGCCCCGCTCCCCAACTATGTCCTGTAGCAGCCTTGACCTGGACAGCACCAACCAAGGCCCCCAAGCCAAGAATTTAGCTGGGAGACTTTTCACCTTCTTCCTTCTCACTGTCGTCTTTCCTGTTTATTTTCCAAATTGCTGCTCTGCATCCGAGCAATGCCTTTGGCCAAAGCTCACCAGAGCTGTGGGATCAGACTAAGGCAGTGGGCTCAAGTGGCCAGCAGGGCACTGGGGGAGGAAGCAGGGAACTGGAAGAGCCTCCCTGTGCGTCTCCCATGGGCAGCACTAACCTCAGAGGCGGCCCTGAGCAGCCCTATCACATCCGGTGCTTGTCTCTGCAGCCGGACCAGAGGATAAACTATCAGAGCTGTGGGGCAGTGCATCATTCCTCTTATTATTTTCTTCTCTGCAGATGGGGTCGTGGAAAGTTCAGTTCCTTTTAACCCTCAAAGTTCTGTTTATTCTACAGCTGGTAGCCTGAATGCCGTGTTTCCCATTACATCACAAAGGGGCTCAGGCAGATCTCTGCACAGAAACGTGTTGCAACTGTTTATTTTTTTCCAAATTTAAACATTTCTGACAGCCAAACCTGGCTGAGCCAAAATAAGGAGCTTTGTGAATGAGTCTGGTTGTTGGTGTCTGTGCAGAGAGAGGCTTTAGAAAACTCTCATCCCTCTGGTGATTCTTCCTAAACAAGTTCTTTTTCCTGGGCAAAGCCTGTGAAGTGAGTTACTTCTGCAGTACACGTGTGTTGATTATGTGCTGTTGTGTGATTAATGGGGTTGTGTTCCGCCTTGTTCCCAGGACACTCTTGAAAACAAGATGTTTCATTTCATTGCCTTTTCCTAGTGCAGTGATTACAGTAAATAAACCAGTGCAGCCTCCTTCCACCTGGAGCCAGTGAGGGAGTTCCCATACCACTCCCCCATGTTCTCCACTAGCATCACCTTCAGTAATGAATTCCTTGAATGCCCTCTTTTCTGCCATCTCTCAAGATTCCTAGTCTCCAGGAGAAACAAATTGCTTAGTCAGAGGCCCCTCCCTCTCAGGTAGATTCTGTATAGTAACCATCCTGGGGAAGTTCCAGGATGATTCTTACAGCTCTCTTTGCTTATTGTCTCTTTCTACTCCATCTCTTAAACCCTAATTGTGAATGTTTTCTTGTACCTATGTACCTCACTCCCTTTGGAGTAAAACTTACCATCCATAGGGTAGTGCCTATTTTAGACTCCCAGGCTTCTCTGGAGGAGAAAGCCAAGCCTGTAAACTTAGCAGGCACTGCATCTTACTACAATTTGAGGTATCCCTGTGAGGGGAAAAAAAAAAAAAAATTCATGGGGTCTTTAGCACCCATCAAGCAAAAATCTGAACCACAGTAGATGATAATATCTACTGATAAGTAATGGTGAAAGAAAAATTAAGTATCTTTTTATAATTCTACCTTAAATGGAAAGACTCAAACTTTGAATTTTCAGGGTTTCTTCTTAGGATCAACCTGAACCTGGTGCTAAGTAATCAGAAGGACCAACCATCCTGGCTCGCACAGGGCTAGGGGATTTGAGGGAATGTGATACTTTTGGTGCTAAAACAGAGACACTGCCAGAATGGCTGGTCACACCACCCATTCTAAGTAAGTAAAAATAAGTGGAGTGAAAAGAGAGGTATGAGACAGGCAAGATAGCACTGATAGTGTTCATCTGCTGAAATACACGAAAGGTTTTGCCTTCCCAGGCAGATTTTGGCAGGCCAGGAATGAGGATTTTGTTGGATCTGTATTTGTTTTCCTACATGCATGCATGATACATACACATATGTACATATGTAAGAGATTTCTAAAGCATTGTAGGGGGAAAACCACATGACAGTGTGACTGGACCCTGTGTATCTATGGCTGGAAGAGAGAGATGGGTGCCTAGTTGCTGTTTGTGTGGTATATACTTGGGTGCACAGAAGTTCAGGAGCTGCCTTAGGTACTGGTACAGTGTTTGAGTCAGTGTCTCAGCACTCTTGTCTGGAAAGTTGACAAAACCTGCATTAGACAATTGATTCTCCAAATTCTTTTTCTCTCTGGTTAGGATTAAAACTCCCCCTAATTAATTTCAACTTTGCATAGAGGGGGACACACACCCCAGATTGCTGCCATGAGCATATTTTCATATCCTAGCATTTTTGGAATGATTTATTGGCAACGTGGACAACTTTTGCTGCAAGTATCTTTCTGCTGACAAGTGCTGAGAATCGTTTTATTGGTCTCTCTTTAGAGCTCTCTTCTTTTCTGATTTTATTTCTCACAGGGTTGCTGTGGATGTGTGGTCGACACTGGCTGATTTCTGTAACATATTGACTGCGGTGAATCAATCTGAAGTGCCACTGTACAAGGACCCGGATGATGACCTCACCCTTCTTATCCTGGAAGAAGATCGGCTTCTCTCAGGCTTTGTCCCCTTGCTGGCTGCCCCTCAGGACCCCTGCTACGTGGAGAAAACCTCAGATAAGGTCAGCCCCAGGCCAAACGTCCCCCTTCACCCCTCCTCTTAATTCTCCAGACTTTTTTATTCTTGGGAAGTTGTCTGTGCAAACGGAACATGATTAAGTCATTGAGAAGGGTGTTAAGGGAAAATATCGACCTTTTAGCTGCTGACATCCAGCTTTGTGTCCTGAAAAAAAAAAAAAAAAATCCCTCTTGACTTCCTTTGGTGTGTGTGTGCTCGCTGGCATGTTGTATATACGATCATTTCCTCACTTGTTTAAATAGTGCAGCTTGTGTTGGCAGTGCTCTCACTCAGCTCCAAATGGTTTGCATCATGCTTTAAGCACCCTCCTTCCTCCCCCCTTCCTCCTTCCCCCAGCCACAAAACTCTGCACTAGGAAAACAGCCAGGGCTTTTTCCCTTCTCTAAGGAGGAGAGTGATAAATAGGTGACTAGAGAGAAGCAGACACCATGTGTTAACTTACAAAAAAAGCTTTTAGGAATATGAAGCATTCTCTGCTGCCTGGTTTCTATTTTCTTTCCTCTGAGGACTGTGTTTTAACCTGACTTTTTTCTTGTCTGTCTGTTTATAGAAAACAAAGCTCATTCCCTGTTGCGCTGGTGGGGACTATGGAGCTTCTAGTATGTACTTAACAGTTGGGTCTTCAGCCAGGTGGAGAGTAGTAAAGCCTGAACTTCTCTATTCTTCCCATGTAGCAGTCACTTAGCTAGGGAAGTAGCGGTCACAGACATTGGGGACAGAATCTCCTGTGTGGATGCAGGGGCACGCTATACCTGACAAGAGTATTTGGCATCACATGCAAGGCCTTTGGGGAGAAGTCCACAAATACCTCTCCCCCCACCCAGTACTGAGGTTTGAACTCAGGACGTCAATAAAGACTAAATTCCAACGTGCGGAATATAGTAGAGTGCTTGTCTAGCATGCATATTCAAGGTCCTGTGTTTAATCCCCAGCACCACCAAAGATTAAAAAAAAAACAAAACTAAATTCCAAACATGAACTGCAAATAGGAGAGCTTTTTGTATGTGCTGCTTTAGCAAGTATGAGAGATTTTATATTGAATATAAAATTTTTTAAACTGGGTGGTACTAAAGTTTGAGCTCAGGGCTTCACCCTTGGCTAAGCAGGCGCTCTACCATTTAGCCACACCTCCAGTCCCTAAAAACTTCTTAATATAAAACAGTATTTATTCATTGTAGAAAATTTAGAAAATGTACAAATAAAAAAAGAGAAAAATTTACGCCTTATCCCCCTACCCAGTGATAAAAATCACTGCTGTTTTATTAATCAAATATAATTATATGTAAGTGGAAATATAATTTATACCACTTAAAAAGGTGGGGTGGGACTGCAAATGTTAAGTCAGTGGTAGAGTACTTGTCTACCATGCACAAGGCCCTGGATCCTATCCTCAGCATAGTAAAAACAAAAGCAAAACAAAAAAATTGGGGGGGGGGTATTACTTATAATCTGCTTTGTTTGCTTAATATTTTTAATGTATTCTTATATGGAACTCAGTGTGGTGCTGGGGATTGAATATGAATTCATTTTTGATGATCACTTAGTATTTTTTATGTGCCAAGATTTCTTTAACCAGTCTTTGTTTTATCAATCCAAGAGAATGTTTCCAATTATTTTCACTATTATAAACAGTGAATTGATACCTTATAGCATAATTTGAGCATGTATTCCCTTTTAAATTTCTGTAAGTCGGTAAAGGTTCTATACATTGACATATAAAAACTCCATTCTCTTAGCTGGGTGCCAGTGGCTCATGCCTGTAATCCTATCTACTTGGGAGGCTGAGATCAGGAGAATTGCTGTTCGAGGCCAGGCCAGGCAAATAGTTTGAGAGAATCCATCTCCAAAATAACCAGAGCAAAATGGACTAGAAATGTGGTTAAAACAGTAGAGTACCTGCTTTTCAGATGGGAAGCCTTGAGTTCAAACCCCAGTCCCACCAAGAAAAAAAGAAACAAAAACTATACTCTTCAGATGCCTTTAATGAGTAAAGGGTCTTGGGAATAAGAAAATGGGCAATGAGGAATACTTATTTTATGCCTTTGCAGAATAAACTTGAGTGAAATTCTGCTCCTCTGGTCTTAGAAGTTGGTAATAATATGGATGTGTAGCATGCAAGACTGAGGACAGCAAAAGTCTTTTATACTCTGTGGAAGGCATTGAGTTAGAAGAGAGACTGGATAGCCATGGCTTGGGCCAGAGCATGCTAGTAATCTCTGACCACAAGGTCATCTTGATTCTAGAGTGTCATTTTGGGAGTTGACAGCTGAGTTTGCTGTTTTTTTAGTACAGGATGGGGAGGAGTCCTAACCAGCTTCAAGTTTCCTAAGCTCCGTTCATCAGCTCATTAGCAGCACTTGCAACTGTAGTGTTAGATACCAAGTCTGTTACCAGGCTAGAGAAGACTATAGAACCAGCAGTCCACTCTCAGTCTATGGGAGTGATTTATAGGCTGGTCAGGGAGCAATTGTGTCTCACTGAGTCTAAGGCAGGGCTGTACTTCAAAAACTGTGAAATGGATATGTTGAACATAGCATCTCCATCCCACCTCACCCACACCCCTAAACCTGGTCTGTCTTCATCTTTCCCCTGTTGGTAAATGGTAGCATTGACTCTTGGGTTGTTGCTCATGTCAGAATCTTGGGGTTACTCCTGGCTCTACTTTTTCTCAGCCCCTCTCTCCATGTCTAATCAATCAGCAATTTATGTCTTCTTTACCTTCAAAATACATGCAAATATAACTCTTTTCTTAGCACTGTATCTCAGTTCCATTCATTGAAATACTTTCTAACTGGTTTCTCTGGTTCTTCCCTCCTCCTACCCCCTAATGTATTTCAGCATAGCAATTAGAATGAGCTTTTTAAAACATTAGGAAATCATATCAGTTCTCTCTTCAAAACCTTGTAATGTCTATTCTTTTTTGAAGTAAAACCCAAAGTTTTAACAATGGCCTCCATACCCTCTGTGATCTGACTATACTTCTACCCTGCTTACTCTCTGACCTCAACCCCTGTGTTCTGCTTGTCCGAATATGCTCTAGTTACATTGATGTCCTTGCTTTTTCTCAAGCAAACCAAGCATTCATGCCTAAAGGTCTTTGCAATTACTCCTCTCTTAATCTGGAATGCTCTGTCACCAGAGAGCTGTGAGGACTCTCTCACTTCCTTGTAAATGTCACCTTGTTAGGTCTTTCCTGGCTACCCCTTTTATGTGTATCCTTTTTTCCTTTTACTCTGCTATATTGTTCTCCATGGTGATGAAAAATAATTATCTATCATGTATCAGTCCCTGACCTAGGTTTTTCTGTATAGTATTTCCTCTAAGTAAATCTGCCATATGAATATTAGTGCCTTCATTTATAAAAGAGGAGCCTGAGACTTGAGAGGACAATGAAGAATGATGATACATTCACATAGGTCATCTCTATGGCTGACCTAGAAGATTAATATGGATGTGTCAGACAGAATCTTGGGGAACTCTTGAACTTTTAGAAATCTGATAGACATTTTCTCAAGCTTCTAGTGGTCCTTACTAAGAAATATAAATATCTCAAGGGCTTTGTTTCAGCAACATGAGTGATTTCATTACTGGTTAACATCACTCATATGTTTGGGTCAACCTGAATACTCATTCAACAGTATTTACTGAGCATGAATTACCCACAAAACATGGGAGATTCAGCTATACAAGGTAAATTTGTCTAGCGTGGGAGACCATGGGTGGCATATATAAAGATATAGCAGCAGCATTAGTTAATTTGAGCCTATAAGCAGTGAGGAGCTTTGCAGTTTTCTTGAGCTGGTAGTATTCCAATAAGGACATTGCTTTTTGAACACTGATTTGGCACTAACATACCATTTTATTTCCCAGGTATGTTCTATGTGGGGGTTTGTATGTGTGTGTATGTGTATGGTGTTTTGTTTGTTTTTGGCGGTACTGGGGTATGAACTCAATGCTTCCAGCTTGCTAGGCAGATGCTCTTCCACTTTCAGTCTGGACAGTGATCCCTCCTAGTTATGCCATCCTCATAGCTGGGATGACAGGCACATGCCACCACACCCAGTTTATTCGTTGAGATGAGAGGGTCTCAATAACTTTTTGCTCAGGCTGGCCTTGAACTATGATCCTCCCAGTCTCTGCCTCCCAAGGAGCTGGGATTAAAGGTGTGAGCTACCACACCCAGCAGAACTTGAGTTTTGTGGATTCTTAATTGTTGGGGTGGGGGAAGCTTTGTGATCAAATAAGTAAAGCAGGGTTAGAACCGATTACCGCAAGATTTCTTTTATCTTTTATAGCAATGGTGTGCATTACAAGAAGGATAGTCATTATATACTTTCCCAAGCTTGTTTTGCTTTTGATTTTTTTTGATTTGCTGCACATCTTGCAGGTTAAGTGTTCTACCTGCATTAAACAAACCACAGTAGAAATGTGTAGATGTATAGTAGTATAAGATGAGCAAGAGGTGAAACAACAGATTGTTTTTGGAATTATCCAGAAATAAGGTAAAAAGAGCATAGATTAAGGTAAAAATAATAGATTGTAGCTAATTACATTTTGAGAGAAATGTCACAGGTATTGAAACCAGATGTAGCCAGTCGGGGGAAAGAAAGTGAAAGAAAATTCATTGAGTAGCTGGTAGGCACCTGAATTCAGAAATTAAGTAGTTTACCCAAGGCAATGTGGCTAGTAAAGAAGTATAGTATTAACATCATTGTTTTGAGATTTCAAAATCCATGTTCTGCTGGGTGTGGTTGCACACACCTGTAGTCTCCCAGCATTTGGAAGACTGAGGCAGGAAGATCATGAGTTTAAGGCCAACCTGGGCTACATAAGTGTAATCCTGTCTCAAAAAATATGTTCTATTTTTGTGTGGGGAGTAGGGGCACTCCTGGAGTTTGAACTCAGGGCCTTGCAATTGCTAGGTAGACGCTCAACCACTTGAGCCATTCCCCCAGCCCTTTTTGTTTTAGTTATTTTTCAGGT